GTCGCGAAGAGCGCGAAACACCCAAAGGCGGTGATGTAGTGATGGACCTGTGGGTGACGCTCGAGGAGCTGTATTCGGGCAATTTTGTGGAAGTGGTGCGCAATAAGGCTGTGTATCGGCCGTCTCGGGGCACCAGGAAATGCAATTGCCGTCAAGAGATGGTCACCAGACAGTTAGGCCCCGGAAGGTTCCAAATGATGCAGCAACAGGTCTGCGACGACTGCCCGAACATGGAGTTAACCAATGAGGAGAAGTTACTGGAGATCGAAGTGGAGGCCGGTATGAAAGACGGACAGACGCAGACATTTGTGGCCGAAGGTATTGTGTTGTCATTGACGGCACCACTCGTTTGTGACCAAATGTATGTGTGACTGATGTGTGTGTTTACTGTATGACAGGTGAGGCGCACATCGATGGAGAACCCGGTGATCTGAAAGTGAGAATCCGAACGCAACCTCACAACACGTTTGAGAGGAGAGGCGACGACCTGTACGTGAATGTGACCATTTCGTTGACGGACGCGTTGGTGGGCTTTGCGATGACAATACCTCATTTGGACGGCCATAAGGTGCAGGTGAGCCGCGATAAGATCACTTGGCCCGGCGCTAGGCTTAGGAAAGCCGGCGAAGGGATGCCTAACTACGAGAACAACAACCTTCGCGGCACTCTTTACATCACTTTCGACGTGGAGTTCCCTAAAGGAGAGCTCAATGAAGACCACAAGAAGGAAATTAAAGACATTCTCAATGAAAGCTCCAAAACTAAGGCCTACAACGGCTTAAGAGGCTATTAATAGATAGGACTTAATTTATTTAAAATTTAGTTTTCAATTAATAAAATAAGTATTTAATACCAAACACTATACTCTCATTGTATCGAAACATCATTTCATTGTTTTTATTTTGTAAACATATTTTCATAACTATTTGTATTTATATTTTTAATTTAATTCAGAAATTAGAAATAATAAATTGATTCAATTCATTATCAAAACGGAAGTTAATTGTTATATTTAAAAAAATAAAATTTGTTATTTATACTGTATATTAAAACTATTAAAGTATTATTACAGTAGTAAAAACTATTAAAGTATTATTATAACAGTATTAATGGGCACTTTTATACCGTTCGCTTTCATAAAATGTTCTAATATCGTTGTAAGTGAGTGGCGGACGCTCTTCACCGTCCGATTCATCGGCTTTGTCTTCGATGGCAGTCTCCGTATCCTCTGTGGTGTCATTTCGTTGCTCTGCTTCTCGTTTATCGGCGGCCGAGATATGAGTGAACGCATTGGCGGCCGAATTGGGTTTGGGAGACTTGGGTGGCGACACATCGAATGGTGTGTTGGCCGGAGTGGCTGTGTGTGACTTCACGTTACATCTCATGCCAATCGGTTCGCTGTCTTCCAAATCAAAGCGTATTTCTTTCACAGCAGTCAACGCTTCCGTCAGTTTCTCCTCTGAAGTGTTTCGGATCATCTCTTTGCTGTTAGTGAGAGCCGATTGCTTAGCGCTAACCACTTTCACGGTCTCCACCGGTGGCTCCTGTGAAGCCGTTTCGGATCGCATATCTGATCCCGACGTGGAATTGCCATTCACTGAGTCATTAATGATTTCGGTAGTGATTTCCTGTATAAATTCAGTGAACTTTGAAATCAATCGTTTTGTCACATCGATTGTAATCTCATTCTTGATGTTTTCGATCTGTGTTTTAGTCATTACAACCAAATTGGCGTCAATTTGTGTCGCGGAGTCGGACCTACTCTTAGGCTCAGCGGCTGACGGATTGGTGTCCAACAAAGCAAAACCATTTCTCTCAGAACTGCAATTGAAATCAATTGACGATCGCTTCGATTCTTTAGCCTTATATTTATCGGCCTCGCGATGACCACTAAAACTGTTGCCTCTCTTACCGCAGATCCCACCCATTGTATTGAAATTAACGGTTTTATTTCTTAAGAGAGAACTGTTTAACAGAAGGCAAAACTTAATTGCTTAATAATTTTAAAATCATATCTCATTTGAGATTTACAATAAAAATCTAATGGAAATTTTGAATAATTTTTTGAATTTTGAATCAACTATGTATTATCAGTTAATCCATTTCTAAACCTGAAATTATAAAAAGTCATAATTGTTAATAAAAACTGACATATTCTTAACTCAGGTGTTAGAACTATCTTAAAAGTCTTTTAATGTGCAAATAACATTGAATTTGTGCCAAAACTCATTAAAATAACATAAGTTATGTTACATAACTATAGCTTAAGAATTGTTGTATATTTTACCGCAAATAGAAATTGAGGAACAATAATGACTTTTGCATCTCATAACTAAAACAAGCAATAATTGATGAGTACTTCACAATACATATGAACTTCTAATTACTGTAATATCAATCGAGAAGAAGATTAATTGAAAAATTATTTATTTGCTAAAAGAATCCAATTGTCATTACTGTACAACTTATTTATCATTAGTTGGAATTATTTTGGTGTTTAAAATCCTGGAATAAATGCAAATGTGATATGAATTTTGTATGAAAGGGTTAAACAGGAAATAAGTGTCACTAAATAATAGTAATACTTTATAATTACTATATTTTATGAAAAATACTCAAATAATGATAATTGAAAATAGTTTTCTCTATATAAGAGTCATTCTTTCTGATTATATAACAAACAAACTTATATTTGTTGGAAAGTTTTTAAAAAACAATATTCTGTGTGATATCTATTGATAGAAAATAGTTGTAGTGATTCGTGCGGTAACTTATGGTCATAATTATGGCTATTGTATGGCGTCGACCAACATATGGCTCTACCATCACAACCACCGCAACACACAATTCAAGCAAAGTTTTGAACACAACCGATATTCCGATCGCGACTCAAGAATTATCTCAATGTGTAGTTTTGGTTCATAAGAGACAGAATTGGATGATTTCACGGATCAACTCATTTATCAATAAACTCAATATCATTGAAACTTTCAATTATTTAATGGATTTATATTTATTGTTTATTTAATGAAAAGTTTGTATTTTATCTTGTATTTATTGTATCTCAATTCAATGTATTACAATATTTAATGTATTCACCCATTTATTTAAAAATATATGCATTCTTTACGCATAGAATCTGTAATTATTACACATTTTTCTAATTATAACAATTAGTTTTCAATTACAATGTCTTCTAATATAAAAATTTTCATCATTATTACAGAAATCACTAAATATTTTCCCTATTTATCGTATAATCATATTATAGATGAAATAATTTCATGTGTACTAAAACTATTAAAATTAATTTAATAAAAAATACGATTACATATAAATTCTGTAATACAGTATATACTCGTTATAAGAACCGATTCTGAAATAGTGTCACACAAGTTGTACATGTATTCAAAGAGTAGTCAATAGTAAAAGTTAGCCAAAAAACTATCTCAAACTTTGAGTCCAGAGACCAAAGAGTGTATCTTTGATAACAATATTGACATTACAACAAAAAAGTGTGCATTCATTGGATTGAATCCAATCAGACATTTAATATGATTAACACAAGTAGTGAAACAGAAAAATACAAAATTATTGTGCAAATCATTGTATGAGCTGTCGATAGAGTGCTATTCAGATAGTATTGCAATTCTCGATAGCAATACAAAGCCATACATTGAGTACAAGTATTGGGAGAGAGAGAGATAGCGGAGTGAATGAGCGCTCAATTCATAGGCATTCACTTCAATGCATCAAATCGTTGAACGCTTTCAACACAACAACAATACCACAGGTATTGGCAAAACAGTATAGACTCCGAGACCGACCAACAAAGTGGTCACTATTTGCCAACACATCTTCACATAACGTGAGTATATATTTTAACCACTCTTTCACGGCATGTGTTAACCCATTGTCGCCCAACATATGATAGCCCTATATGTTTGTTGTCGGACATTATGAACGCAAACCTTCTTTTCATTTTCTAAATGTGTGTATATTCACTGAGCGAAAAATATCTTTAAAACTTGTGAATTCCTTATCCTAGATTAACAATTTGAACGGTTTTTGCACACAAGCCTTGAGTTGTGAATACACTACTATAGACAGATATATCATTTTAGACTTGTATTTAAAAGCTATTCCCAAATGATAAAATTACAAGCCTAGTCTAATATAAAACACCGTTAAGAATGAGGTATAATAGAGCCTAGTTTA